GTGTGGTTCTATTTACAGGGTTTTTTTGTTTGTTTTGTTTTGTTTTGTTTTGTTTTGTTTTGAGATAGGGTCTTGCTTTGTCACCCAGGCTGGAGTATAGTGGTGCAAACAGAGCTCACTGCAGCCTCTCTCCTTCCTGGGCTCAAGCAGTCCTCCCACCTCAGGCCCCCAAGTAGCTACCGTGCACGACTAATTTTTATATTTTTTATAGAGATTGGCTTTTGCCGTGTTGCCCAGGCTGACCTCAAACTTCTGGGCTCAGGCAATCCTCACACCTTGGCCTCCCAAAGTGGTGGGATTACGGGCATGAGCCTCTGAGCCCGGACTGTTTATGGATCTTTAAAGAATCCCTGCAGCCTCCCTGAACTCCAATCTCTGTGATTTGCCTGAGGTTCCAGGACCTAGAATATGCCTCCAGGTAGGAAGTCAGACTACATATGGGGCTTACTTCCTGTGTTTTCCTTCTCTTGAGGACCAGTCGTTTTTTCTATTGTCTGAAAGCAGTTGTTTCACATAAATTGTATTATTTTCCAGTTGGGGTTTTTTTTTTTTTTTTTTCCTTAACAGTGAGAAGCCAAGATCCATGCTCCTTGGTAGTCAGAAGCAAAAGTTTGTTTCTCTCTCTCTCTCTCAGATGGTTTCTATTCTGTGTCTTTAAGTATTCTGATATTTTCCTTTGTAGTATCCCATCTACTAAACTCATCTAATGTAATTCTCATTTCAGACATTGTATTTTTCACTTCTAGAAGTTTCATTTGTTTTTTGTTTTGTTTTGTTTTGAGATGGAGTTTCGCTCTTGTTGCCCAGGCTGGAGTGCAATGGCACGATCTTGGCTCACTGCAAGCTCCGCCTCCCGGGTTCACGCCATTCTCCTGCCTCAGCCCCAAGTAGCTGGGACTACAGGCGCTAGCCACAACGCCGAGCTAATTTTTTGTATTTTTAGTAGAGACGGGGTTTCATCATGTTAGCCAGGGTGGCGTCGATCTCCTGACCTCATGATCCGCCCACCTCAGCCTCCCAAAGTGCTGGGATTACAAGCATGAGCCACCGCGCCTGGCCCTTATTTTGTATTTTTTTTAGTAGAGACAGGGTTTCTCTATGTTGGTCAGTCTGGTCTTGAACTCCTGACCTCAGGTGATACGCCTGCCTCGGCCGGATTACAGGCATGAGCCACCACGCCCAGCCTAGTTTATCTTTAATATCAAGGCATGTTCATCTAGGGTCTCTACTGTTTGAGTATTCACTCAGGTCTCTCTACCCTGGCTGGACAGAGTTAGAATGCCTCCCAGGTATTCCTGTACCACTTATTTCTTCAAGGCCAGGATCTGATATCTCAGTGGAATATTCTGATACAGAACATGTGATACATCTGATACTCTGATGCATCTGAAACAATGTATCAGAAACAGCTTTCATTAAAAACTGTACTTCAAGTACCTATACAACCTTTCTGTTTCTCACTTTCAGTACGGTGTTCAATAAATTGCATGAGATTATTCTGTACTTTATTATAAAATAGACTTTGTGTTAGATGATTTGGCCCAACTGTAGGCTAATGTAAGTGTTCTGAGCATAACTAAGGTAGCCTAGGCTGAGCTAGGAGAATCGCTTGAACCTGGAAGGCAGAGATTGCAATGAGCTGAGACTGTGCCATTGCACTCTAGCCTAGGTGACATAGAGAGACTCCATCTCAAAACAAAAAACAGAAAACAATGGCTTTATTGGGGTGTAACCCCATCATTAGTCAAGGAGCATCTGTGTATATCTTTTGATATCACATGATGGTATTTGATCCTCACCACAACCAGTTCAGTGGGTAGTATAATCTTCATTTTATAGGGAAAGGTAGCAAGGCCCAGGGACATTGGTTTTGTGACATGTTCTTAAGTGACAGAGCTGGGTCTTGAACCCAGATCTTCTGGTTTCATTAGTCATGCCCTTTAAGCTCCTTGAGAACAGAGAGAACAGTTTTTCACAGAGTATTTTCTCAATTATGTGGCTCACGTTGAACATATCTCAAATCAGGAAGATATATCTTCACATAGAAATATATGGGATTGTTTGCTTTTCTTCCAGAAAAGTTGTCATTGAATCAGTTGTAGTGCCTCTGAAATCACTGTTGTAGAATCAAGGAAATATATAGATCTCTCTCCAGTGCCTAATAGAGCCTTTATACCTAATATATACTTGGTAAATATTTGTATGCTAGGTTCAAGAAAAAGCTGATTTTATAAAGCAAAATGTGCTTCTGAAAGTTGTATGCCTATGCTTGTCTCTTCAGGTATTTTATGCATGGTGTGTGTCGGGAAGGAAGTCAGTGCCTGTTCTCACATGACTTGGCAAACAGCAAGCCGTCCACCATCTGCAAGTACTACCAGAAGGGCTACTGTGCCTATGGAACTCGGTGCAGGCAAGGACTCTGCGACAGGCTCCAGCTGTGACACTGATTTCGTTTGGAGAATGGGTCTTGATAAGGGGGAAGTTTTAATGTAAAAGTAATATGACAACATTACAGAAAGTATGGCAAATAAATTTAAAACCTGTTTCAGTACCCTAAAACTAATTTTCTTTTCTTTTTTTTTTTTTTGAGATGGAGTCTTGCACTGTTGCCCAGGCTGGAGGGCAGTGGCGCAATCTTGGCTCTCTGCAACCTCCGCCTCCAGGGTTCAAGCAGTTCTCCTGCCTCAGCTTCCCAAGTAGCTGATATCACAGGCACCTGCCACTACACCTGGCTGATTTTTTTTTTTGTATTTTTAGTAGAGACAGGGTTTCACCATGTTGGTCAGGCTGGTCTTAACTCCTGACCTCATGATCTGCCTGCCTTGGCTTCCCAAAGTGCTGGGATTACAGGTGTGAGCCACCGTGCCCGGCCTAATTTTCATTTTTTAAAACTACTTTTCAGCCTTATTCTTATGAATATATAGTTATAAAATTGTACACAATTCCAGAAACTTGTTCGTGCTTTTGTAGTGCAGAGCTGATCTTTTCTTTCCTAGGCTGCAAAGTTTCCTTTCCTCCATTTTCTATGCAGTGCAGTGGGAGATGATGGAAGTAGGCCCACCTTGGTCTCCCCCTGCCAATGAGTGCTGAGAGAGACAGTCAGGGAGAGGTCATTGGCCCTTGTCAGCATTTTGGGGACTCCTGCTCAAAAGAATACTGGGTCAGTCAGGCATCAGGAGATTTCAGCTCAACATCTCTTTGGAACTTTCAGGCTCTCTGTGTGGTCTGGAGCTGTGTATCTGTCCCACTCAAGTCCCACAGAGACACTTAAGCATAGGTGATAGATAGCAAATGTCCCGTCACACTGAATTGCCAAGCATCTGTTAATCGATAATCCTGTTAGAGTTTAAATATTGGAAAAGATGGCTGCTTTCTTCACCTCAACAAGTGCAGCAGAAGGAGGGCCATTGGCATCTGGGGAGTGTGGGGATGTGTGTGGATGGCATGTCTGTAATGCATCTGCTGTGTGTTTTGTTTAGATATGACCACACGAGGCCCTCTGCTGCAGCTGGAGGTGCTGTCGGCACCATGGCCCACAGTGTGCCCTCCCCAGCTTTCCACAATCCTCACCCTCCTTCTGAGGTCACTGCGTCCATTGTGAAAACTAACTCACATGAACCCGGGAAGCGTGAAAAGAGAACCTTGGTTCTTAGAGACCGAAGTGAGTAAGCGGAAGCCTTTTGTTGCTTCTTTTTGCATAGCACTCTTGCTTATGCTTGGTGCTCCTTTCTAACCTCCTCTTGTCAAGAGGAGTCCTAACCTAATACACCTCCAGGTTGTCCGCGTGGAGAGACTTCAGAACTTTCTGAAGAGGCTCCATGTGGCTGTAGATCATTCAAATGATACGTTTGCCCTCGTGCCCAAAGGCTGGGTTGAGCTCCAAGACTGACCTGGCAAAACATAAAAACGCAATCTTTTTGTCAGCATGTAACTTCCATCTTCATATGGTGGTTGTCCAGCTGGTGAGAAGCATCAAGCTCTTCATTTCAAACCTAAATATTTTGTCTGGGTACAGTGGCTCACACCTGTAACCCGAACACTTTGGGAGACTGAGGTGGGCAGATCACCTGAGGTCAGGAGTTTGAGACCAGCCTGGCCAACATGGTTTAGTAGAAACCCCGTCTCTACTAAAAATGCAAAAATTAGCCGGGCGTAGTGGCAGGCGTCTGTAATCCCAGCTACTTGAGGCAGGAGAATTTCTTGAACCCGGGAGGCAGAGGTTGTAGTGAGCTGAGATCACGCCACTGCACTCCAACCTGGGTGACAAGAGTGAGACTCCCTCTCAAAAAAAAAAACAAAACTAAATATTTTGCTAAAGAGCATGTTTCACTGTTTGACTTTTAGGCCAGTGAATGGTCTTAGTTTTTATGCTGACAGTGTTTGACATTTTAGATTGCACCTTTGGGAACAGAATAGCACACTAGGGTTTGGGACATGGTCTGTGCCTTAAAACGGGGTTTGATGAGGAAGAAAGCTACAAATTGTAAAAGTTTTTTTGTTTGTTTTTTTGTGTGTTTTGTTTTTTTGAGATGGAGTCTCACTCTGTCGCCTAGGCTGCAGTGCAGTGGCATGATCTCCGCCTCCCAGGTTCAAGGAATTCTCCTGCCTCAGCCTTCCGAGTAGCTGGGATTACAGGTGCCCACCACCATGCCCAGCTAATTTTTGTATTTTTAGTAGAGACAGGGTTTCACTATGTTGGTCAGGCTGGTCTCGAACTCCTGATCTCATAATCCACCCGCCTCGGCCTCCCAAAGTGCTGGGATTACAGGCAAGAGCCACTGCGCCCGGCCGGGTTCAAGTGATTCTCCTGCCTCAGCTTCCCAAGTAGCTGATATCACAGGCACCTGCCACTACACCTGGCTGATTTTTTTTTTTGTATTTTTAGTAGAGACAGGGTTTCACCATGTTGGTCAGGCTGGTCTTAACTCCTGACCTCATGATCTGCCTGCCTTGGCTTCCCAAAGTGCTGGGATTACAGGTGTGAGCCACCGTGCCCGGCCTAATTTTCATTTTTTAAAACTACTTTTCAGCCTTATTCTTATGAATATATAGTTATAAAATTGTACACAATTCCAGAAACTTGTTCGTGCTTTTGTAGTGCAGAGCTGATCTTTTCTTTCCTAGGCTGCAAAGTTTCCTTTCCTCCATTTTCTATGCAGTGCAGTGGGAGATGATGGAAGTAGGCCCACCTTGGTCTCCCCCTGCCAATGAGTGCTGAGAGAGACAGTCAGGGAGAGGTCATTGGCCCTTGTCAGCATTTTGGGGACTCCTGCTCAAAAGAATACTGGGTCAGTCAGGCATCAGGAGATTTCAGCTCAACATCTCTTTGGAACTTTCAGGCTCTCTGTGTGGTCTGGAGCTGTGTATCTGTCCCACTCAAGTCCCACAGAGACACTTAAGCATAGGTGATAGATAGCAAATGTCCCGTCACACTGAATTGCCAAGCATCTGTTAATCGATAATCCTGTTAGAGTTTAAATATTGGAAAAGATGGCTGCTTTCTTCACCTCAACAAGTGCAGCAGAAGGAGGGCCATTGGCATCTGGGGAGTGTGGGGATGTGTGTGGATGGCATGTCTGTAATGCATCTGCTGTGTGTTTTGTTTAGATATGACCACACGAGGCCCTCTGCTGCAGCTGGAGGTGCTGTCGGCACCATGGCCCACAGTGTGCCCTCCCCAGCTTTCCACAATCCTCACCCTCCTTCTGAGGTCACTGCGTCCATTGTGAAAACTAACTCACATGAACCCGGGAAGCGTGAAAAGAGAACCTTGGTTCTTAGAGACCGAAGTGAGTAAGCGGAAGCCTTTTGTTGCTTCTTTTTGCATAGCACTCTTGCTTATGCTTGGTGCTCCTTTCTAACCTCCTCTTGTCAAGAGGAGTCCTAACCTAATACACCTCCAGGTTGTCCGCGTGGAGAGACTTCAGAACTTTCTGAAGAGGCTCCATGTGGCTGTAGATCATTCAAATGATACGTTTGCCCTCGTGCCCAAAGGCTGGGTTGAGCTCCAAGACTGACCTGGCAAAACATAAAAACGCAATCTTTTTGTCAGCATGTAACTTCCATCTTCATATGGTGGTTGTCCAGCTGGTGAGAAGCATCAAGCTCTTCATTTCAAACCTAAATATTTTGTCTGGGTACAGTGGCTCACACCTGTAACCCGAACACTTTGGGAGACTGAGGTGGGCAGATCACCTGAGGTCAGGAGTTTGAGACCAGCCTGGCCAACATGGTTTAGTAGAAACCCCGTCTCTACTAAAAATGCAAAAATTAGCCGGGCGTAGTGGCAGGCGTCTGTAATCCCAGCTACTTGAGGCAGGAGAATTTCTTGAACCCGGGAGGCAGAGGTTGTAGTGAGCTGAGATCACGCCACTGCACTCCAACCAAAAAAAAAAACAAAACTAAATATTTTGCTAAAGAGCATGTTTCACTGTTTGACTTTTAGGCCAGTGAATGGTCTTAGTTTTTATGCTGACAGTGTTTGACATTTTAGATTGCACCTTTGGGAACAGAATAGCACACTAGGGTTTGGGACATGGTCTGTGCCTTAAAACGGGGTTTGATGAGGAAGAAAGCTACAAATTGTAAAAGTTTTTTTGTTTGTTTTTTTGTGTGTTTTGTTTTTTTGAGATGGAGTCTCACTCTGTCGCCTAGGCTGCAGTGCAGTGGCATGATCTCCGCCTCCCAGGTTCAAGGAATTCTCCTGCCTCAGCCTTCCGAGTAGCTGGGATTACAGGTGCCCACCACCATGCCCAGCTAATTTTTGTATTTTTAGTAGAGACAGGGTTTCACTATGTTGGTCAGGCTGGTCTCGAACTCCTGATCTCATAATCCACCCGCCTCGGCCTCCCAAAGTGCTGGGATTACAGGCAAGAGCCACTGCGCCCGGCCGTAAAAGTTGTTTTTATTGGCTGGTCCTCACCAGGTGAAGAGATTTCTAGTTCTTGGAATTGGGTACCATGAGGTAGGCAGATTCCATCCTCAGCAAATGAGTAGTCCTGTGAGAATACGTGACCTCTAAACAAGCTCGGAGGTGTGCAGTGGGAAGGCAGCAGCTCCTGGCGTGAGAAGGGTTCACCATGGGACAGTTTACGCTGGCCTCAGGACCCACAGATTTGCTGTAGACATCTATTCTAGTTCACTTAAAATGATTGGTAACTTTGCTGGTATGAAGGAAACACTGTGTTCTAGTGATCTCACTTTTTTTTGTTTGTTTTAGTGTTAACTGGTCCATGTGTTAACATTTCCATATTTGCCATTTTAAACAGCAGCTTTAGTGTTCTTTTGTATAAGTGTATCCTATTGTTTTGCTTATTTCCCTGTCTGGCCATTTTTGTTTTTTGTTTTTTTAAGTAATTATAAGTAATGTCACTATGAACATTTTATACTATTCCTTTTATTTTTCCCCTTCGATCTGTTTTTTCGCCATATGTTCTCAAGGGTGGAATTCTTAGGTCAGAGTAGCTTAATATGTTAGGCTTTGGTTAACGGCATATCAGAAAAATGGGGCCATTTTCATGTGTGTGTGCTGTGTGTTGTATTCAGATCTGTCTGGCATGGCTGAAGGAAAGACTCAGCCGAGCATAGTGAGTAATCCAGGCAGCTGCAGCGACCCCCAACCCAGCCCCGAGATGAAGCCGCATTCCTACCTGGAGGCCATCAGGAGTGGCCTTGATGACGTGGAGGCCAGCAGCTCCTACAGCAACGAGCAGCAGCTGTGCCCCTACGCAGCTGCTGGGGAGTGCCGGTTTGGGGATGCCTGTGTCTACCTGCATGGGGAGGTGTGTGAAATCTGTAGGCTGCGAGTCTTGCACCCCTTCGACCCAGAGCAGAGGAAGGCTCACGAAAAGGTAAAGTCACAAACCTTTGCATGAACTCAATGTTAAGAAATCTGAAACGTACTGAACAGGACACTGAAGGCCATCCATACACACTCAAAAAAAGAAATCCGAAACATACTAAGTGACAGAATTGTTGGTGTTTCCACAGGCATCCCCCTGCCAGTAATATACCTATGTTATGCATCTGGTATATTTACATCCTATTTTGAGATTCTTTTTCCTGCAGTCATTTTGCCATTTTTTTTTTTTTGAAACAGAGTCTCCCTGTCACCCAGCCTGGAGTACAGTGGTGCAATCTCGGCTCACTGCAACCTCTGCTTCCCCGGCTCAGGTGATCCTCCTGGCTCAGCCCCGCCGAGTAGCTGGGATTACAGGCACTCACCACCACGCTCGGCTACTTTTATATTTTTAGGAAAGAAGGGGTTTCACCATATTGGCCAAGCTGGTCTCGAACTCCTGACCTCAAGTGGTCCGCCTGCCTCAGCCTCCCAAAGTGCTTGGATTACAGGCAGGAGCCACCATGTCCGGCCTATTTTGCCAATATTTGATTACTCAGAATAAAGAGAAAAAGAAGTGGTATCTGAAACAAAATCATGCTAAGTTCAAAGAACAGATCTAGCTCAGGACCATGGTATGTCGTATGTGTGTATGTCTCTGTCACACGCACATATAGCGTCCTCCCTCCCTGGGTTCACACTTCCTCATGGTTGGGATCCAGCTAGGCCAAGTTTTGGAAGATTTGAGCCCAAATCATAGAATCTGAGGAGCCACTTATTGGAAGGGCCTTTTAAAGTCATTAATGTCTGCAGTGTTTTGGGAGGCTTTGCCTTATGCTAGTCCCTATGCATGATGCAGAGGGTACGAAGCTGGATAAGAGGCAGGGGAGGGCCAGTCATGATGACTCACACCTGTAATCCCAGCACTTTGGCAGGCCAAGGCATGCAGATCACTTGAGCCCAGGAGTTTGAGACCAGCCTGGGCAACATGGTGAGATCCCCGTCTCCACAAAATAAATAAATAAACAAACAAACAAACAAACATTAGCCAGGTGTGGTGGCACACACCTGTAGTCCCAGCTACTTGGCGGGGCTGAGGTGGGAGGATCGCCTGAGCCTGGGAAGCAGAGGTTGCAGTGAGCCAAGACTGTGCTACTGCACTCCAGTCTGGGCAACAGAGTGAGACCCTGTCTCAAAAAATAAAAATAATAAAAAAATTTAAAAATGCCAGGTGTGGTGGCTTGGCTAACTTTTAAAATTTTATTTTATTTTGGCCGGGCACAGTGGCTCACGCCTGTAATCCCAGCACTTTGGGAGGCCGAGGCGGGTGGATCACGAGGTCAGGAGATCAAGACCATCCTGGCTAACACGGTGAAACCTCGTCTCTACTAAAAATACAAAAAATTAACCAGATGTGGTGGTGGACGCCTATAGTCCCAGCTACTTGGGAGGCTGAGGCAGGAGAATGGCATGAACCCGGGAGGCGGAGCTTGCAGTGAGCCGAGATTGCTCCGCTGCACTCCAGCCTGGGAGACAGAGCGAGACTCTATCTCAAAAAAAAAAAAAATTATTTTATTTTTCACAGAGATGAGGTCTTGCTATGTTGCTCAGGCTGGTCTTGAACTTCTGAGATCAAGCAGTCCTCCTATCATGGCCTCCCAGAGTAACGGGATTACAGGTGTGAGCCACCGCACCCGGCCTAAGGCATGTTTAAATGGACAGTGTATTCCTAGATAATCAAGGGGTAAGCTAGTACTGACTCCATGTGGCAATGGACAAGGAGACACTCTCCATTGTCTTCCAGGGAAGCAGAGGATTAGAACTGTCTTTATGCAAGTGTGTGAGGTCTCTGCGGTGAACGTTGGCTTGTCTCAGATCTGGACACACTGAGCTCACAAGGGCCGGGCGTAGGTCTTCTCACTCTTTGCACTTCCTCAAATGCCAGCACATAGAAGGAATTCAGGGCATGCCTAATGAATGAATGAATTCATTGAATCGTTTTCTTGGGGAGAGGTGGTGCTGCTTACATATGACTAGGTTGCTAGCCTCAAGGCTTATGGTAAGGACGAGTCAGCACCTCTGATGTAGACATGGCTCAGAGTCGGGGGAAACAGTGCCCAGAGGAGCTGGGGGACTAGGGTCGCAGTCCTTATGGACTCTGACTCCACTGCAGTTTAACCTTTTCAGATCTCCGTGTTCTCAGCTCTAAATGAGTGGTGACCACGTCACCTCCTAGGAAAGCAAGGGGCTGGACCAGTGATGGTTTGAAGTCCTTTGTGTGGTCTGAGGGAGATGTCAGTGTCCTGACTTGGGGGAGGCTGGGCCTTGCTCACAGCAGTCGCTGTCAGTGTTCCTTCCTGATCTCAGCACTGGCAGTGTGGCTGCAGCTACTCCTAGGGCTCCTGCCACTCCTCAGTGGCCAACAACCGAAGCCTTCCTTCCTGTCTGTGCTTCAGATCTGCATGTTGACATTCGAACACGAGATGGAAAAGGCCTTTGCCTTCCAGGCAAGCCAGGACAAAGTGTGCAGTATCTGCATGGAAGTGATCCTGGAGAAGGCCTCTGCTTCCGAGAGGAGATTTGGGATTCTCTCCAACTGCAATCACACGTACTGCTTGTCCTGCATCCGGCAGTGGCGGTGTGCCAAACAGTTTGAAAACCCAATCATTAAGTAAGTACAGCCAGGGGTCTTAGCTGTAGGAACTAGGAGAATGTTTGATTTGAGACTTTATTCCATCCACTTTTAAGCCCTCCGTTACCCTCCAGGGGTGTCTTAGTGCAGAGTAACTGGTGAGTTCTGGCCCCTGGCTGCATTAACTTCAGCAAGTCATTGACTCCTCCTGAGCCCAAGTGCCTGTTCTTATAAAAGATGGGCAACAGTTCCTACCAAGCGTTCTGGGTGTTGGGGAGGAACTCAGCAAAGATGATCTGTGTAAAAAGCTGTTCCACGGCAGTGGCCTGTTTTCGTCTCCTAGCCTTGTGTTTGAAATCCAGTACTACCTGCCTTTAGCCCAGTTGCCTGTGAATCGTTTTGAGCTTCGTTTTTTTCCCCCACCAAAAACGAAAATAGGGTTATTTGAGGATGAAGTGGAATAATGCATGTAAAACATTCTGCATGATGCCTGGCACATGAGATGTGCTCAATGTGGCCAACAGGAGTCTCAAATTCTCCAGCAGGACAGGGGAAAAGCTGGCGTGTGGAGAGGTTACTGCACGCGTTCTACTGTTCAGAACTCTTCACATCTATCTGCTCATCCCATTCCCGCAAAGACCCTCCTCAGTTACAGATTAGGAAACAGGCCTGAGGTCAGGGGGTCAAGTAACTTGTCTGAAATCGTGTGGTAAAACAACTGCTTTATTGAGATAAAAGCACACAATTTAGTTTACCACTCATCTGCTGTCTCTACAGAGTTGCCTATTCTGGACACTGCTTATAAATGGAGTCAGAATATGCGGCCTTTTGTGCCTGGCCTCTTTCACTGAGCATGGTGTTGTCAGAGTTCATCCTGACTGTAGCATGTGCCAGAGACCCCTTCTCCTGGCGGAATACATTCCATTGTATGGACTCAGCACATTTCCCTTATCCATTCCTCAGCTGGTGGACATCTGGGCTGTTTTCACTTTGTAACTATTATGAATAATGCTGCTGTCAACATTTGTGAACACAGTTTTGGGTGGACATGTGTTTTCATTTCTCTTGGGTATACACCTAGGCGTGGAATTGCTAGGTTTTATGGTATAATAACACTACATTAAACTGTTGGAGAATCTGCCAGACTCTGTTCAAATTTTGCATTCTCTGCACCATTTTACATTCTCACCAGCCATGTATGAGGGTTCTTATTTCATCTGTCTTTTTTGTTGAGGAAACCCTATATATAGATATATAGATATATAGATATGTATTTTTTTTGCCTTAAGTTCTGGGATACATGTGCAGAATGTGTAGCTTTGTTACATGGGTATCCATGTGCCAAGGTGGTTTTCTGCACCTCTCAACCTGTCACCTAGGTTTTCAGCCCCACATGCATTAGCTATTTGTGCTGATGCTCTCCCTCCCCTTGCCCCTGCACCGACAGGCCCCAGTGTGTGATGTTCCCCACATGTGTCCATGTGTTCTCATTGGGAAACCCTATTTTTTTTTTTTTTTTTTTGAGACGGAGTCTCGCTCTGTCGCCCAGGCTGGAGTGCAGTGGCGCGATCTCAGCTCACTGCAAGCTCCGCCTCCCGGGTTCACGCCATTCTCCTGCCTCAGCCTCCCGAGTAGCTGGGACTACAGGCGCCGCCACCACGCCCGGCTAGTTTTTTGTATTTTTAGTAGAGACGGGGTTTCACCGTGTTAGCCAGGATGGTCTCGATCTCCTGACCTCGTGATCCGCCCGCCTCGGCCTCCCAAAGTGCTGGGATTACAGGCGTGAGCCACCGCGCCCGGCCGGGAAACCCTATTTTTTAAATAGTAAATAAGGTTCTTGGATGATTGTGATTTCATCTTTTGGAATTTCTGGTGAAGGAAGTGCCTGTAGTGGTCAGGCAGTTGAGCAAGAGGTGTAGCAGAGTGTGTGCCCAGGCTTCATAACATGACTTCTCCCTTAGTAATCTAATTCTTATTTCAGGTCTTGTCCAGAATGCCGTGTGATATCAGAGTTTGTAATTCCAAGTGTGTATTGGGTGGAAGATCAGAATAAAAAGAATGAGTTGATTGAAGCCTTCAAACAGGGGATGGGGTAAGTGCTTTGAGTTTCGACGTGCCCTTGCTGCCTGCCTGGCTCTGCTGTCAGCCTGTGTCCTTGTTCTCCCTCCCAGGAGTGTGGTCTTAGGGGCCTCTTCCTCTCTTCTTCTCTCGGGCACCATGCTGGGCTCTGGGATGCAGCAATGAGCAAGGACATGGTGATGTGGACCTGTTTAGTTTTGGTGTTTTTTTGTTTTTTTTTTTTTTTCGGTGAGATAGGGTCTCACTCTGTTGCCCAAACTGGAGTGCAGTGGTACACTCTCAGCTCACTCTAGCCTCAGCCTCCTGGACTCAAGCAGGAGCCTCTTGAGTAGCTGGGACCGCCAGTACTGTGCACCACCATGCCCAGCTAATTTTTTTTCTTTTTTTTTTTTTTTTGGTAGAGACAAGGTTTCGCCATGTAGCCCAGGCTGGTCTTGAACTCCTAGACTCAAGTGATCCTCCTGCCTCAGCCTCCCAAAGTGCTGGGATTACAGGCATGAGCCACCGTGCCCAGCCTCAAGTTTTCCTCTTTATCCTGGTTGTCAGCATGTTGACATTTTGCTGAGGAGTAGTTTTTCTCTACGTTTATGTCACTCCCCAAGATTAGGGAAATTTTAGCTGTTGTTTCATTAACTTTTTTTCTATCTTGTTTTTTCTTTTCCTGCTGGGACTCTACTTCCATTTATGGTAGATTTTTTTATATTGTCCATAGATCTCTGGGGATGTTCATTCTTTTTCAACCTTTGTTTTCTTTTCATCTCTTTGAGCATAGTTGTAGTAGCTACTTTGAAATCCTTGTCATCTTGAAGTTGACCTCTGTTGTCTTTTAAGAATGGATCACATTTTCCTGATTCTTCATATATCTAGTAATTTTAGATTTTATCCTTGACATTGTAAATATTACGTTGTAGAGAGACTTAGGATTCTGTTACAGTTTATCTGTAAAGTGTTGATTTTTTTTTTTTTTTTTTGAGACGGAGTTTCACTCTTCTTGCCCAAGCTGGAGTGCAGTGGTGTAATCTCGGCTCACTGCATCCTCTGCCTCCTGGGTTCAAGTGATTCTGCTGCCTCAGCCTCCTGAGTAGCAGGGATTACAGGCATGCGCCACTGCGCCTGGCTAATTTTTTGTACTTTTAGTAGAAATGGGGTTTCACCATGTTAGCCTAGCTGGTCTTGAACTCCTGACCTCAGGTGATCCGCCCACCTCGGCCTCCCAAAGTGCTGGGATTACAGGCATGAGCCACTGCGCCCGGCCAAGTGTTGATGTTTTTAACAGGTAGGTAAATTGTTTGAACTCAAACCCAGGCAGCAGTTGAGATCTCAGTTCTGGTTTTGCATTCGTGGCTGAGTTTGTCGCATTCCTGTGTGGTTCAGGAGTTAGTCAGATTTGGGCAGAGTTTATACACAGCCTTTGAGCACTCTTTCACAGGCCTCTTACTTTGTGGGATTGTTTCCTCACTTTCCAATGGCTGCGATTACCTTGAACTCTCATCCTTTAGTTCTTCAGGCCAGAAAGATTGGATTTCCCCTTGGAGTTTTAGTCACCCCCAAGTGGTTGTGATTTTGGCCTGCTCCAGGATAAAAGCTACTTCTTTCTTTTTTTTTTTTTTTTGGGGAGACGGTGTCTTGCTCTGTAGCCCAGGCTGGAGTGCATGGCTCTCAGCTCACTGCCACCTCCGCCTTCCGGGTTCAAGCACTTCTGCCTCAGCCTCCTGAGAAGGTGAGACTACAGGCGCATGCTGCCACACCTGGCTAATTTTTGTATTTTAGTAGAGACAGGGTTTCACCATGTTGCC